AATTTTTGCGATTTTTGCAATTTTCAGGAATTTTTTCGATTTCTGCAATTTTCAGGAATTTTTGCAATTTTTGCAATTCTCAGGAATTTTTGCGATTTTTGCAATTTTCAGGAATTCTTGCAATTTTTGCAATTTTCAGGAATTTTTGCGATTTTTGCAATTTTCAGGAATTTTTGCAATTTTCAGGAATTTTTTCGATTTCTGCAATTTTCAGGAATTTTTGCAATTTTCAGGAATTTTTGCGATTTTCAGGAATTTTGCAATTTTCAGGAATTTCTGCAATTTTTGCAATTTTCAGGAATTTTTGCGATTTTCGCAATTTTCAGGAATTTTTGCAATTTTCAGGAATTTTTGCGATTTTTGCAATTTTCAGGAATTTTTGCGATTTTTGCTATTTTCAGGAATTTTTGCGATTTTTGCAATTTTCAGGAATTTTTGCAATTTTTGCAATTTTCAGGAATTTTTTCGATTTTTGCAATTTTCAGGAATTTTTGCAATTTTCAGGAATTTTTGCAATTTTCAGGAATTTTTGCGATTTTTGCAATTTTCAGGAATTTTTGCGATTTTTGCAATTTTCAGGAATTTTTGCGATTTTTGCAATTTTCAGGAATTTTTGCAATTTTTGCAATTTTCAGGAATTTTTGCAATTTTCAGGAATTTTTGCAATTCTTGCAATTTTCAGGAATTTTTGCGATTTTTGCAATTTTCAGGAATTTTTGCGATTTTTTTGATTTTTACAATTTTCAGGAATTTTTGCAATTTTTGCAGTTTTCAGGAATTTTTGCAATTTTCAGGAATTTTTACAATTTTTGCAATTTTCAGGAATTTTTGCGATTTTTTCGATTCAAACAATTTTCAGGAATTTGGTGCGATTTTTGCAATTTTCAGGAATTTTTGCAATTTTTGCAATTTTCAGGAATTTTTGTGATTTTTTCGATTTTCACAATTTTCAGGAATTTTTGCGATTTTTGCAATTTTCAGAAATTTTTGCAATTTTTGCAATTTTCAGTAATTTTTGTGATTTTTTCGATTTTTACAATTTTCAGGAATTTTTGCGATTTTTGCAATTTTCAGGAATTTTTGCAATTTTCAGGAATTTTCGCGATTTTTGCAATTTTCAGGAATTTTTGCAATTTTTGCAATTTTCAGGAATTTTTGCGATTTTTGCAATTTTCAGGAATTTTTGCGATTTTTGCAATTTTCAGGAATTTTTGCAATTTTTTGCAATTTTCAGGAATTTTTGCAATTTTTGCAATTTTCAGGAATTTTTGCGATTTTTGCAATTTTCAGGAATTTTTGCAATTTTTGCAATTTTCAGGAATTTTTGCGATTTTTGCAATTTTCAGGAATTTTTTCGATTTTTGCAATTTTCAGGAATTTTGCGATTTTTGCAATTTTCAGGAATTTTTGCGATTTTTGCAATTTTCAGGAATTTTTGCAATTTTTGCAATTTTCAGGAATTTTTGCGATTTTTGCAATTTT